CCTCAGACAGCTCGGAGTGAAGGGAAAATGCTCGAATATATTAAGGCATTTCTCTCTGGTAGACCGATTCGGGTCAGGGTCCCGGGAGAACTTAGCAGTCCACGTACTGTGACTCAGGGCGTTCCTCAGGGAAGTGTCCTCAGTCCTTTACTTTTCAATGTGGCCATGGCAACGCTTCCAAGCTTACTTAGCCAGCAGGAGCCGTTCCACGTGCAGATATCCATCTATGCAGATGATGTGGCTCTTTAGTGCCCTGGCCCAACTCGAAGGGCAAGGAAGATTCGTTGTAAACTCCAAAAGGCACTCGATACAATCTGCAATTCCAACGAAAAACTCGGACTGACACTTTCCCCTGAGAAAACAGCATCGCTGCTTTACCGTCCAAGAGGACGCCCCCCCGAACGAGCGCTGCAACTCAAGATGGCTGGGATGCCAGTCAAGAGGGTGAGGACAGATAGATATCTTGGATTTTTGTTGGATGATCGGGTAACCTGGAGAGCGGAAGTCTGCAAAGTTCTCTCCAAGTGCCGCAGCCTTCTCGGAGTTCTGCGGTGCCTCCGCGGCCATACCTGGGGAACACCACAGCACGCCCTCCTTCAGTTATATAAAGGATTAATCCTTTCCCGCCTACATTATACTCTGCCACTACTCAACATCGGACCAGCACAACAACGTGATGTTGAAACATTTCAACGTGTAGTACTAAGGATGTGCGTCGGGCTGCCGCGATACGCGGGAAACGTTGCCACACTCGTTGCTGCCGAAGAATGGCCTGTTCTTCTGCGGGCTGATGAGCGCGCCTGCCGTCACCTTGCACGAATTTATGGTGTGTCCTCTGGGAGTTCACTACTATCACACGTCCTTGATCGCCCGAACTCCCGCTTTGGCTATTTGGCGAGACAGATCGAAGATCTTATAGGACCACCCGGACATATCCCTCCACCCCCGCAGCCTCATCTAGAAGTACCAATGACGATAAGTGAAACCCTCCCTTACATGCATAGCAAGGCGAGTGCTCTGGGACAATTTCTCGCCTTTTGACTCAGGAACTACTCTACACAGAGTATATTGGATGGCTGCAAGTATACACCAACGGCTCCACTAGTCCGGCGACAGGAACCACCACGACAACAGTCTTCATCCCAGCTCACAACGTCTGCATTGCTGACAGACTGAACATCGCAACAACATCCACTACTGTGTAGCTGGTGGCCATTTGGCGGGCTTTGGAGCTGCTAGTGTGAAGTGGAACGCCAGGAAGAGCAGTCATCCTCACAGATTCGAAATCTGCTCTTCAACTTCTCCGGAACCCCGAGACTGGCACTCCATTGACTGCAACAACTGTAGCACCTGCCAGGTCAGCTGAAAGAAAGGGTTGGCAACTTGCTTTTCATCGGTGTCCTGCACATACTGGAATTGAGGGAAACCAGAAAGCGGATGCCCTCGTTACTGAAGCCCATGGACTTGAGACCTTTACCATTTCCCTTCGCCGGTACAATGAAGCCATGGCGATTTATACGAAATTTCTACCAGAAGCGCCACCCACACCGAGAGACGGCTGAAGGACGGCCCCCTCCAGCAATCTCCCGCAAGCTGCCAAGAGAACAAGCGTCAATGTTACATCGGCTGAGGGCAAACTGCGCAAACACAAGATCAACTCTGCACAAACTTCAACGAGTCAATAGTCCTGATTGCCTACACTGTGGAGCCCTAGAGGACATTGAACACGTGCTACTAGTATGCACAGAATACGAAGAAGAGCGTAAAACCTTGTTTCAACGCTACACTTTCAATGGACTTCCTTCCTCCACCACTCGGGAACTCCTCATCCCAGAAGCCCCACGTCGGCTAGTCCAGAGGGCTTACAAAAACCTCTTGGATTTCTTGAGTGAGACTGGTTTGGCAGACCGTCTATGACCAAATACCCACACCGCAAGCAGCAAGGCTAATCAATTGAAACCCACACTTGTGCCAAAGCCCCATCACATTTTTGGACTGGTTTCCGAATTCCCACACTATCTCTTTTAGCCACATACGGCTCCTCCCCCTTGCCCAAGCCGGGTAGCGACTCGCCCCGTGCAGGAGGCCAACATCTCTCCCGGCTCTCCCTTTCCTTCTCTGAACCTCACAAAAAGAAGAAGAAAGAAGTGAAATTCGGACAGAAAGTTAATTGTGGGGGCAAGCTTTACAAGTCCAGGCAAGTAGAGAGGGTTATACGTTTCCCAGCCACTTAAACACCGTGCGAGTGTCCGTTTAGCGCTGCAGAGACTATTGTGAAGAATCAAAGGAGTTCACAATTAGCGGATAACGTGAATGAACCTCTTTGACTCTGCGGTTGAAGTAATAATTTGTGAGTGTGGGTATATTTGGCTGTTCTCAACCACACAGAAATGTTTAACTGCACCGTTGATTGCATACCCAGCATAGGCAAAACATTTAATTTTGATTTTTTTTAAGGAGGTTGTGCATGGGAATGAAAGAAGCCGCTTAATGGATTAGTTAACGGTGTAAAGGATGTCCAGTAATCGGGCTTAACTTTTTAAACGACGCCAAACGGGAACGAGGGCCGCACTCGTGGCGTTTGCTTCCATGACGTAGTAGAACAGAGGGTGAAATCGCCAAAAAGTCAGCTCCAACCTTTAAACATGTCCCTTCCTGCAATATCTGATTCTACGATTGTGTGTGCATACCCACCACTGCGTTCCCAATCATAATGTTTCATTGAGACCTAAAAGAAAAGAAATAAACCTATCACTTTCAACCTGCACCACCAAACGGCATAACATGTTGGTTAAACCAATCAAAATAAATGAGTAGGGTCAAATGACCAAAATTATTTTTTTTTTCTAAAAACCAATCTGAAAGAAAAACTGGGGAGCGTAGAAACCATAGTTTCAGGAACGGGCTTGGAATTTAGTACGGGCATTTACTTTTATGTATATGATTATCCCTTTTCTAAAAATTCTATCGCTTCAAATGTAAATTTGTTTTTCTTGGTTTCTGCTCCACCGATCTTCTGGAAGAAGACGACGACGATCCAACTTCTTTATGAAGATGTCCTGTATAAAAATAAGAATATAACTAATATTTCAATGTTAAATGTTGTTTTTTTTGTTTTTTTTTCCTTTTCCCTCTTTTTCTCTTCCGTCTCCTTCCTTCCTCTTTCCCCATTTTATGCTGATTATTTCTATCTATTTAGTTGTGCATTTCCCATGTTGAATATCGATTTTAACCTATATCGCTAATAGAACCAAGTGGACTGTACTCGGCAACTTATATAATTATTGCTTAATCTAAATTAATGCTCATTTCTTTTCTTTTTCTCCTCTTTCTTCTCCCATCCCACTCCGCCAACAAGTTGACCACTAGGTGAGAAAAGAGCCAATGGTGCCTATCTATGTTTTGGATTGCAATCTAAAGCTATAATATGTTTCATGATCTGATTTGTGCTTAAAATTCTAAACGGATTAAATGGGACTATAATGTATCTCATAAAAATGCCTTTAGTGGCGTTCCGAAACAGTAAGTGCGTCGCTAGCACTGGCCTTCGGCGATGCAGTAGACGCCGCCATCTTGTCTTCAGTTAATGGATGTCCCTGTAACTTCGGCCGAAAGTCCTTGAGCCGAACATCTTCGTCTGAACCACAGTTCAGAGCGCGAGCGTAACAGCATTACAAGTCATATATGAACTGAAGCATCTGCTGAGCCGTCAGAACTCCTTGAACGTGCGATGGCCGGCACTTCGACGTTGATACACCTCTCGTAGTCACCGCACGTGATTCTGCTTCACAGCGTTTTCACCCTTCTCAAATAATGCGGAATACTACGGCAGGCACTTGCGCGCTCGAACACCTCGAACATCGATCAAAGCTATGCACGGGCACTCTTCGCTCGGATATAAAGTTGACCCCGGGTTTGAAGTTTCGTCGCTTGTCACCACATTAATTTAACGCAGTCGCGTAGACCCTCAGAAACAACCAGTGAACGTGCGTAAACATCGTGTCATCAGCAAGCAAGGCCAGACAGGTTTTGAAACTTAATTACGGGCTTCTATTATCGCTTTATGGCAATGACATGATAAAAAAGGTATTCGTGATTACATATAGGGAGTATTCATTGGCATTCAAAGCTGTGCGCGCGACTGCTGAGCGCGCGCTGACGGCGAGCTTTCACTGGTCTTCTGGAACCAGAATTCCATACCATCAAGGTTGCCGGTCTTAGCCGCCTTTTAGTCTGACCTCCTTCTAAGCATGTGCTCTAAACATCGCCCTCAAACATGGGGCCCTAAACTCGTAAAATACAAAGTTGGAGCCGAATTTGACGGAGCGCACCGATTGGACAATCAGGACAATGAGTTGGCGTTTTTCTGGCCGACGTCCAATCGATGCGCTCCGCGGACTTTTGGCTACAACTTTGTGTTTGACGAGTTTAGGGCCCATGGTGTAATACCCCCTGTAGAAAAGACAGACAATTTTTATCGGAAATTTCTAACCTCACGTTGTTGCCCCGCGCATTTGTCCATTACAACGGCTCTAGCAGCGGTTTATTTAGAGCACAGCGCCATGTTGTGACGTCATCACTTACGGGGTTAATAACAATTCGCCGTTTCATGGGCTCTGCGCTTGCACGCGCTGTAAAAGCACGACGGATGGCGACGAGCTCCTACCGAATGCTGGGTGTTCTAAAGAGACGCTTGCATTTTAGTTTTACATTAACTAGCATTCATAAATGCTTCACGTATGCACTCAAATAGCGTTGTCGCCATGCGTCAATCCAAAAGCGCAGTTTGTGCTGGGCGCACACGCAGGGAGACGACGCCATTTGTTTGTATGCGCAAAACTTTACCGAACGCTACTCCAAAACTGTCTAGTGTTCACCTCGCTTAGAAGGGCAGAGTTCCGTCATTGGGCACACGGCACCTTCGCTGCGCTACGCCCTAAATACTTCCGCAAAACGTTGCTCACATTTAGCTAACACTGGCATTTTTTGTTTTGTTTCAGATGCCAAGGAAAGTGGCAGGTACATGACCCCTGGGGTGACCGCCAATCTACTCATCCGTATCCTCGAGCACGGAAACTTCAGATCCGGTGAACGTGTTGTTTACACAGACGCTCCCTGCGTCTCGTAGAAACGAAGGGAGCGTCTGTGTAAACAACACGACCTCTGGGCGACGCCATCTTGCTGCTGACGCGTCTGACAGTCTTAATAGTTAAGCCTCGCTAAGGCGCTTTCACAATTTTGGCAAACTGACGCCCAAACTATGTGGTGTCGGGAACGCGTCTCCGACTGGTGTGTTTGGCGACCTACTCCACCCGTGCATGGAAAGTGGTCGCGAAGCGGAAAGAAATGGTTTCACAAAAGCCGGAGTATCGTGCTGTTGGATGTCGCGATCCTGGCGGTTGGTCGTAGAAACGCTGGTGAAAAGCACGAGCGAACTTGAGTGCCGCTTTCGTAATGGCATCCCAACTCCCAACTGTTGAAGCCTCCGTGGGCTGGCTATCTGCAGAGTGCAACCTGCAGCAGAACAGTTGTGTTCCACATCCACTACCACCGCTGGAACAACGCCAGGACTGCGGCAGGCGACAGCGTGACAGTGCTATGAATTCATCAGGCTGAAATCGAGATACCACTTTTTTAAAGGTGATAGGCATTCGTTAGTTATTACTCCCCGCTCCCCCGATTTTGTAGATCTTTAAGGCCTCCTTCTTTTAAGTTTCTGCGCTAAATATGGAGGGAAAACTGAATTCATAAAATAAACTGTTAACTCATAATTTGCGTAGTCGTCTTCACTAGTGAGCTGCGTCGTGAGTCTCATGAAGAATGCTATCGCAATTAATAGACAACCAACGCTAGCGCTTTCAGCGACCATTTTCTTTTGACGCGGTGAACACACCAGTCGGGAACGCGTTTCAGGCACTCTACCCAAGCAAAGCAGTTATTTAAATCGACGAGACTAGGCTCCCTTTGAATCCTGGCGGCATGCACATGCATATACATTTGATAGTCCCAAGCAACCAAGGGCGTTACCGTATGCGTGCGCAGAACGATTGCGCGTGCACGCGGCGGCGGCCCAAGCTGCAAGGAGGACACAAAGCGTTGTGGTTCCCTATTCCGAAATTCTCTGTTGATAACGTGGTCGATGACAGGCTGGGTATCCCGTACGCGCTCCCTCTCGAGCGCATGCTTTCAGCCTTCCGTAACACGCACGCGAGGCAAGCGGCCAGCAGAAGACAACGAGTCTCTTCTGGAGGCGTTGGCCGCATGTCGGGTTAGAGTCACAGTCGGTTGCTTATAGATTTCATTGGCAAGAAACTACCCGCGTCATAGAATTACACCTAGCGAAACACCTCAAAAATATTAATTAGTTAAATAATCAACTTGCAACTGGAAAGAACTGGAAATAAAGTATAGCGTCAGAACCGACGACCCGCAATTCAATATTTTTTACGTTCTTTCTTTCTTTCCCTCTCTCCTATCGGTTTCTTTCTTTCTCCATACATTCGCGGATTGAATGCAAGCGGACGAAATAAACTCTTGAATTTTCAAGCTGCCTCGTAATATCTGTATGCACAGATTCCCCGACAGCGCACCTAACGTGTGATCAGTTTTCTTGGCATTGTGTTTTCCTTTCTCGTGGTTACTGCCACACCACGGCTGTACAACGCAGCTGATGAAGGAAGGAAAAGACGCACGTCTGCCTTCCTCCATGTACCCAACATTAGAAAAATACATTCTGCGTTTACGTATGAGTAGTGCAATAGATCAAATATAAAGTGGACACGGTGTTAAGACCGCTTTAAAACTAGCCACAAAATTCAGAGCCTGTAGATAGAAAAGTCAAACCTACACCCAATGTCAATTTAATTAGTGTATTTTACTATGTAAAATTTCAATGTATGTTTATCTTCTTGTCAAAATAAACGAGGTCAATGAACTTGCTTAATTCAACGGCGGATGCATTGGCTTGCGATCCAGTTATAAATGAATGTAACTCTGGTGCGTGCCATCTCCCGCAGATCCAGCGAACAGACAACAGAGCACGCCGTCTTCTCGCTTCGGTGTTTTTTTTTTGTTTTTTTTTTTTTTTGTATTTGCTTATGACCAAACGAGGTGTCTTTTTTTTTCTTTTTTTTTTTTCTTTTGGACACACTCTATTTGTTAGGGATGTCGCGAGCCACCCCAAGTTCGATTTCGAAAGGTTTCGATATTTGCGAAGCGAACTGGGGTTCGATTTCGAAAAATTTCGATATTTTCGTACCGACCGAGATTCGAATTCGAAAAATTCGCAACTTTCAATCAAAGTGGAGTTTCGAAATCGAAAGGTTCGAAGCTTTTACGGTTTCTGAAATTTCGGATTCGAATATTTCGAATATTTTTTTACTTCAGGTTCGATAAATTCAAAGATTTCGAAATTCTTTGGAAATAAAATTCAAAAACTTCGAACGCTTCGAATTTTTATAGACATGAAGTTCGAAAAATTCGAATATTTCGATTTTTCTTTCTGTTCGTTTTCAAAGTTCGAAGTCCGGATTTCAAGTTCCTCCACAGTTTGTTTCAAATAACGTTTTCACGACTCACTGGTTTTCACAAAATCAAGTTTAGAAAGGTTAGGGCCGGTTGCACCAACGCCGCTTACCTTAACCCAAAGCGGCACTTTCCTAAGCCGGCTTAGCGCCCTAAACCGAGCTTAGGTAAGCACGGGTTTAAATTCCGGTTGCACCAACGTTAAGCCGGCTTTACAGACGCGCCCCTAGCTAAACGCTGGATTTGCGTAGGGAATCTAGGGACAAACAGAGCAAACTAGGGAACGCTCAAAGCGACGGACAAGATTGGCGGAGAGGAATCACGCGATGCAAACAAAAAAAAAAAAAAAAACAACTGCCGTAGTAGTTGTCGTTGGCGTCTGCTATTCGCTGTATTTCTTCGGTGAGTAACAAATTAAAGGTCTCCAAATTCAATCATTTTTTCGTTTAACTTTCAATAACAGAAGTCAAAGCTTCAAATAAACACGAATGCTGTTTACATCTGTGATTGTGTGTTTAATATCGGTTGATAACAGGATATTTTGACAGTGGTAGTAGTTTTCGTGCTCACATTTTGAGGCGAAGGAGCCATCGGGGGCCCCAAATCTCACCGAACGCGAGAAGGACACTCTACTCGCTACATCGCTGAAGACAAAACATCATGGATATAAGTAGGCAGGTAAGATGACTACTAAAACCAAGTCAAGCCTGAGACCGATGAAGTTCAAAACAGTGACGAACTCGCCACGGCAGCTGCGAAAATGCCCGGCAATCGTCGAATAGAAGTCGTCGAGAGGTCAGGTCACGAGACCTTGCATCGACGGTACTTGTTGCTATCAGCAAGGTGACAGAACTGCACTGTACCGTCGTTGAACATCCGCTGCAGCCTCAAACGGACTTCAATTTCACACTGTCGAATTCCAAAAAAAAAAAAAAAAAAAAAACTCCCACTAGTACATTACATCGTGCCGATAAAAACGGTCGTCTTTTTGCATCACCTGCCCCAGCCTGCCCCGATACAGCAATGCACGAATCTAACATAGTAGTCGTTACGATTTGTCGTCGCCACGAATGAAAGATATAAAGCAAAATATTCCTAAAAAAATCGCGATCACCAAAAAAGTTACGGAGGACACAACAAGGCGCAACTTTCAACTGAATTTTATTGAAAACGTGTTCCGGTATATAGTCTCAACCATCGTCACAATGACAACAAACGACAAAAGTAAAGGGAAAACACCATCACGAGCAGAACTCGGAAACAACAGTATCTCGTTCTCGGGAGACGAATGAAAGATATAAAGCAAAGTATATAAAAAAAATGCGATCACCAAAAAAGTTACAGTTATGGAACGATACAGTTTTCTGAAGCCAAGATTCTACTCGCGAGATAAGGAAAATTGACTGAAGATTGTCTCAAAACTCAGAAAACGAAAGAAATTGAATTTTCGCTGTTTTATTACTCAAAAGCGCCGCAATCTAATGCAAACGGCAGAGGTGTCGACAATCAGCTGATCGCCGAGATCATGTACTGCCACTATTCAACGCGCTGATCAGATTGGAGGATACGCGCTGCAAGTGTAGATAAACAAGGTGGTAAATAACAATACGTTACAGCTATGCGAAAATTAGTAAGTACATACGAATAAGCTCGTTGACAGAAGAACCAACGGGAATACAGACGTGAGCCCCACTGCTCCGTACGTTTCTCGGTTAGGGCTAACACGCCCTGAGAGTGGAGAGCCAACTTGAAAACAGGGGTCGATAAACACTTCACGCGACAATATTTTGCATCCTTGTCACAATCGAAAGTCATTTTGTCAAAACTTTCACGCTGATGTAGCCTAAAACACTTTGCACAACCAATTTCGTCCACCGCGTCGACCGTGACAAACCAGCCGCCATGTTTTTAATCCAGGATTAAGAAACAACCAGAAGCAAAGCGCTCAATGTTGGGCGCTTAAGTTAAGCGTAGTTTAGTGCTAGGTTTAGCGATAAGCGAGTTTGGTGCAACCGAACGAAACCGAAACTAAGCTTAAGTTCCCGGCTAAGCTCCGCTTTGCGCTAAGCGACGTTGGTGCAACCGGCCCTTAGTGATATCTAGATTCTGCGAAGTTGGTCACGCAATTAAATGAGGCGACGAGTGTCCCGGATGTGCTGGAATTTTTGCCAGTGCAGAGTGACGTGTGACCATGGATCAGTAATTGTGACCGCCAGCCCGGGGTTGGGAAGGGGGGGTCTTTAACGTGCATCACGCAGTAGTGATCACACGAACACACTGTTTTACGAGACTCATCCAGTTCGAAGCGGCCAGGGGCGGGCAGGAGGTTGAGGCTCAGAAAAACCTTGAAGCGACCTGGCAAACTACCTCGCCACCCCTTGCACGCTGGTAGTGATCTGATCGAACGCCGCCCGGGTGACGCTGGCATATTGTAAGTTAAGTTTGTAATTGTCCTGGAGGTTTATTTTCTGGGACGGAGGAATCGCCTCGCAAAAAGCCGACACAACTCGAGGTCGAGGAGCGTCCTACCATACAAGTGAGTCGGAAGAGGAAAAACGGGGGGTAAGAGGGTAGCGGGGAAAGAGGACGTGGTCGAGCTTATTT